GGGCAGAGAAAACAAAGACCCTTTTCCCCAATTTTGTACTGAGAAATGGGACAGAGAACAAGAAATAATCATTTGAACCCAAGGAGTGTGAATCAACTCTTTTTCGTGTGATTAGGTCACAGATGTAAGATGGTAGCTGCCCAAGCAAAGCCTTATAAATAAAAGTGTACCAATGTCCCAACCTCCTGGTGGACAAAGAAGGCCATCCCACTCGAGTGTACAGCTCACAATGATGAGTCGAGGCTTTGCAATTAGTAACAAACCTCATTTGTGATAGAGCTTACTGTCAGCTACTTGTGTATAAAATATTAGTTCAATATATGAGAAATTGGCTGGATTAGAGTAATTTGAACTTAGCTATGGCAGCCATCTTGTATTTATTATTTCAGCTACTATTTCTGATAGAGCTGACCTTTAGCTACTAGTGGACCAAATTTTAGCTAATTAGGTTGAAAACTGTCTGAATTAAATATGTTTGTATAAACCAATGACATGTATCTGCTACAGGTAAGACACTGCCTAACCTACAGTTGGAGCGTAGACTGAGCTGCATATAGTTGTAAATGGCTGAATGTGAGGCTTTTTTTTATTTCAAAGTTAAATTTAGCAATTAGCTTACACTTGTGAGAAGCATTCATATTGTGTGGAGTTAGCTGTCAGCTACTAAAGGAGTTTTATGGACATCTTTGTGTGTTTACTGTGTTTCCATGGTAACAAATGAAACCTATGTAAAGTCATATGTGACCTTTAACCTACATTGACTTTAACTCTCTACAGCCTCAGCCAATCAGGAGGCTGGATTGCCTCAGCCAATCTGGAGGCTGGATTGCCTCAGCCAATCTGGAGGCTGGATTGCCTCAGCCAATCTGGAGGCTGGATTGCCTCAGCCAATCAGGAGGCTGAATTCCCAGCAGCAGCTCAGCTGCACTTAATGGGAGACCAAAATCTGCAGCTCCTCTGTCTGAAAACACAGAAATGATGTGTCCTTTCAAACAGCTGCTGTACAAAAAATATAAGGGCTATTGAAATAATTTTTGGACCGTGAGCGTCAGAAGACTTTGGTCTTTAATGAAAAAAAATTTCAAGCATGTACTTGGCTTTATGGCTGAGAAATCACAAGTTAAAAAAGTAGTAAGTGTTAGATTTCTGAATCCGGTTTTGATCATTTTTTGAATGGAAGAGATAGGAGAAGGAACTTGGTTTTTCTGGAGCACGTAGAGAGAAAACCAATTGTCTTAGAGCCAAACCAGCACATTTTCTGAAAGAAGACAAAAATTCCTACGTTTTGATGTGTAATTTGTCTTTGTAATGTGAAAATTGTGGCTGCAGTAGGAATTTGTTTGCAAAGTTTTTTCTTTAAAATTACAGAGCTCACACTCTAAGGCAGTATTTCCCAAAGTTGGGGTCGGGACCCAAAGTGGGGTCCCGAAACATCAAGGTGGGGTCCTGAAAGGATTTTCTGAATTAATTACATTTTTGCCTTAGTTGTTATAAAGGAGTGAGGTTATTGTATTTAAAATGGATAAAATGTAGTATAAAAATATTGTTACTA